ATTTGTGAGGCTCTTTAAACAAATATTTCGTAAAACAGAAGATAAAAACCTTTTGATATTGAAATTACATTTTTTTCAATTAATAGAATTTTGTTTAGTCTCCTAGAAATTTGCAATAATTTTATTAGGTATATTTTCAACTCTTAAAATCGACATTTTTAACAGGGTTTTTAAAACATCCTGTATAACACAGTTCAGCACAATTTTACTCCCATGAAATTTTTGTAAAGATTTTGTAAAGGTTAAAAAACGTACCCGTGTCTCACCGTTTCACGAAATCACGTCATTTAAATTTTTTACACAGCCATTCTTATTATTTGAACCTATACTAAACAGATTTTTACTTTAATTTACATGTTGTTATAAATCATTTTTTTTTTCTTGAATTTTTTTATCTTTTTACATAATACGAAAATTAAAATAACAATTTTTTAAGTAGAAAAAAATATTTCTGGATATTTTTTATTTTTTTTAATAAAACAATAGATTTGTATTTATCTTATATTAAATATTGTTAGGTGGAGACCCCTGCCTCATCGTTTAATGAAAAAGGGTAATACAAAAAAATAATAATAATATAAGGTTTAATTTAATTGGCCAAATAGCTGTAATCGTCTCGTTGTGAAATGTTTAACTAAAAACCTACATAGTAACTACAGTTCTTTTTCAAGGTATCATACTTACTTATTGTCAGGAATTGTTTAAATAAAACACTAGCATGCTCATTTTATGACTTATTTATTTATAAGATCAGAGGTGCCACTATTTCTCTGTGGTTTAAAAACCCGGTAAAACGTTGAGTAAAGAGTTAATTAATTTCATTTGTAATCTTGTCAATATTGTACACTTGTATGAACATACAGGTAATTTTGAATATTTCTTTGGTCCAGTACTTAAATAAATTATTTTACTACAACTCAATCAATGCTCGAAACAAGATCTAAATGTCTGCAATTCGCGTAGTTAAAATAAGGTTAGGATTATGGTCAATCCAAGGAGACCCTGATCCAAAACATAATAGTAGTCAAAATCATTCCAATTATACCGTGCCGTATTCGCGTAGTTAAAGTGAGGTTTGGATTATGGTCAATCCAAGGAGACCCTGATCCAAAACATAATAGTAGTCAAAATCATTCCAATTATACCGTGCCGTATTCGCGTAGTTAAAGTGAGGTTAGGATTATGGTCCATCCAAGGAGACCCTGATCCAAAACATAATAGTAGTCAAAATCATTCCAATTATACCGTGCCGTATTCGCGTAGTTAAAGTGAGGTTAGGATTATGGTCAATCCAAGGAGACCCTGATTCAAAACATAATAGTAGTCAAAATCATTCCAATTATACCGTGCCATATTCGCGTAGTTAAAGTGAGGTTAGGATTATGGTCAATCCAAGGAGACCCTGATCCAAAACATAATAGTAGTCAAAATCATTCCAATTATACCGTGCCGTATTCGCGTAGTTAAAGTGAGGTTTGGATTATGGTCAATCCAAGGAGACCCTGATCCAAAACATAATAGTAGTCAAAATCATTACAATTATAACGTGCAGGTAGAGTGGTGAACCAAGAATATATACTGAGACCCTGAACCTCGTCGATAAAAATAACGACGGTGTTAACAACTTATTGTGTGTAAAGCCATTTAGGCAAGTTTGTAAACCATTTTGGTAATAATATTGTTGTATTTACCTTTTAGGTAATATACTTTTAATTGTGACACAGGTGACACATTTCTTATTGTGCCATTTTGACGATATATTTGTTATTGTGCCATTTAGGCGACATATTTATTATTGTGCCTTTAAGGCGATATATTTGTTATTGTGCCATTTAGGCGACATATTTATTATTGTGCCATTTAAGGCGATATATTTGTTTGTTGTAACTTTTTATATTTAATCTTCAAGGAGCATGGTCAAATCATATACATAAATCAAGGGACCTTAAACCCTAAGAATAAATAGTGTTATTTTTCACTTGTCTCGATAAGTCAATTGAAAACACAGATATTAATCAAACTGTAAAACTGGACCAATCACAATAATAATACTAAATGTAATATTGATACAAATTTAGTTTAAGAGTGTGTAATTTAATAATTTCATAATAACGTTTAACATTATGTATTCTAATAATTTGTAATATTTGTAAACGTATGTTTATTATAGTATTTAAAATATAAATCAAATTTTAATTCAATGTTTTTCTAAATAATAAATAATTGAGAAAAATAGGCATTAGTTTGAGGTACGTGACTACAAGCATTGCGTAATGGCAGCCGTTGTAGAAATTAAAACATGTAAATCAATCATTTACAACAAAATATGTATTATAAATAATATCAGACTAACCTGTATATTCTTCTAATATGAAAGAACCACAATGTACGAAGATTACCATATTCTTTTAGAAGTTTTTCTGTTTATTAATATTCGCTTCAAGTGTGTAGTCACCAACAGCCAACACCCTAATAATCCAATCGAAAAACCTTTTTCGAGCCTCCTTCCCACTATCATCAAATAATGGACTCGTCCAAAAACCGTAGAAACTTCTTTATGCATGCGCATCGTAGAAGTTTCTGTCAATTCTTTTTATGGATTAACAGCACTACTTCAAATATTAATTAAATAAGTAACCTATTTACGATAACTAGATAATTCACAATAATCTTCTAAACCCAATTATTACATTATTATAAAATAATAATGATTATAATACCAAAAATACACAGCTGTACAAGCAGTTGCCTATAACTAAAAGCCTAAAATTGTAATTAAATAATAATATTCAATTAGGAATATTTTAATATTACAAAAATATAAGTAAGACAAGTATAGAATTCGTCAAGACAAGTGACATTTTTCAGAGAATACTAAGGGTGGGTCACCACCCTACAATATATTTTGAAAACAAATATTGATCTTTTAGTTTGACGATTATACATTGCTTTCGAATCTATAGTGGTATCACAACCTAAAAACACCACTTAATATACAGGTTGTTTCACATTCGTCACGAATGTGATTCGTGGTCCATTGGAAGTTTCTGGGGACGGAAAAAAATATCGATTTGAAATTTAAAAGCGTTTATAATCCATTTAAGTCTTTTTTTATATTTTGAACAAAATACCACTTCCGGTTTGACCGGAACTTTGTTATTTCAAATAGAACACCCTATATATATTTTTACATTTTTAAATTCTACATAAAATTCTGGGTAAAAATACTATATCATTTTCTATACCTAAAGTAAATAGTTTTCGGAAATTGTTAAAAAAATATCGAATGGGTATTTTCGAGTGGAAATCCTGGGTTGAGTTTTTACCGATTTTCCAATAAACAGTGCACATGTTAATCCGAATACAGTCCCTGTAAATATAAATTGTATCTATTAGATACAATAAATACACATTTTAGTAATGATTGACCTGAAAAGTGTAAATTCAGTAAAAATCGTCAAACAAATAACTCGTCTAAATTCAAACAGCATTTATTAAAAGCGTTGATTAAGAAAGTCTCAAATCAAGGTAGAATACCATTATATTATGTATTATACAGTGTAGCTCATTTGTTTGCGACTCGCCCCTGTAAAATCTTTATTTATTGTGCAATTTTAACCGGATTTGTTTTAAAGTGTAGATCTTGATAAACTATATTTTTGAAGCAAAAAACGCCATATTTTTACATAATACATGGCCTACTATGTCAGTTTTTAAGAGTAAAACAAAATCTATGCACGGCACTGGATTCACCACCCCTCAAATTTTATTGAAAAATTTTAAGAAAAAAAATGCACAATAGTAATTAAAAAAAATTATTTTGTCAGGTTATCCAGAAAAAAAACATTAAAATAAAATTAAACTAATAGTAACATGGTACTATTACTGTAAGTTCAATTTTATTTCAATGTTTTTTCATGGATAACTTGACAAAATATTTTTTGTAGTTATTATTGTACATTTTTTTTTAATTTTTCAATAAAATTTAGTATAGGGTGGTTTTTAGGGGTGGTGAATCCAGTGCCTTGCTTAGATTTTGTTTAAAAAATCGCTAATATGAATTCTTAAAAATTTACTCTTAAAAACTGACATAGTAGGCCTTGTATTTTGTACAATTATGGCTACAAAAATAGAGTTTATCAAGATCTACACTTTAAAACAAATCCGGATAAAATTGCACAATAAATAAAGATTTTACAAGGGTGAGTTACAAACAAATGGGTCACACTTTATATAATATTATGTTGCCATGAATTCGTAGGTATATTTTGCTGTTTAAAATGCAGTTGTCGGCGTTTTTTAGAGGACTCAAATATAAAAATGTACGATTTTAAGGTTATGTTTGTGCAACAATTATTTTTTTACTAATTTCTTAAAAATGTCCAAACTTAAATATAAATTATATTAGGTTTAATTATCATTAGTATATTCTGCACCAACAAATGTACTTACCGAATTGGATCCTTTGGCAAAACATAAAAATGCAACGATTTAGTTTTTTAGTTTTTTCCTTGCAACGTAAAACACAAATAACGTGCGCGATTTAGCTGTGCAATTGAACAAAATTTGTCGAGTAAGACTTCTGCCTTCCTTTTGTGAAAAAACTACTTTATTTATTTAAAGTATGTGCAGTTCGAATGCTTTAAATGTATTGTTGACAATTCTTAACTTCACATAATGCTATCGAACTCCACCAGATGGCGCGCGCGTTGCGAAAACCCGATACTTCGTATTGCCCAAATTGTGGATGTTTAAGCGATTTCACTCGACAAAAAACAATATACTATTTTATGCTCTTGCTAATGCACACTTAGCCTCGTGCACAACTTAAACACTCGCATAAAAATTCGCTTTTCAAAACTTTTAAACTAAATAATTAGGTATTGTTTGTTTAGTTCTTAAAATTATTATTGTACCGCTAAAATACATTATATATTGCATATTTTTCTAAATTTTTATTAAGATTTCTAGGTCTTAAAATTTTATTTTATTTTTTTCAGATTTACAATGTAGTATGTCGAGTCAAGTAAATTATTGCGTATACGCTTTTTGGGGTGTAAATATTAGGCAACTTCACATTTTTCTATGGAGACCCTGGTCAGACCTTAAGGATGCCTGTATGAGAGGAGACTTTCTTAAAGGATACTACCAATATGCTGGAATACAGTTCTCGTAAGTAAATAAATAATAATAATAATATTTAAATAATGAGGTGATTCAAAGTAGTATTATATTTATTAAAAAATTAAATACCTATTTTGTTTTTTTTTTTTGCAGTAATTGTTTTTTATAAAAATATTAATTATATAATAAAATTGTTAACATTTTTAATTTAAATGTAATTTTTATTTTGAACAATAATTGTTTTTTCTCCTATTGGTTATTTTTGACATTATTTGAGATTTTTTGTATATAATGGGAACCCGTAACCCATTGGTATATAGTATAACTACAACCTTTTTTTAAGTTTCACTTGCATACTGTTTTTCAATTGCTTATGCCTGAAGAAATGTAAACATTATTATAATAATACAAACAAATTTGATAAAAATATATATCTTTATTATTTGTCTCAGTTAAAATTAAAGAAACATTTAATATAAAATTTGTACAAATGTAATATGCTTAAAATTGAATTCTTCCCTATTGCAAAATAATTTTATGTGATGGTCTGTAAATGTGTTATTACCTAAATAATTAGACAGTAGTAAACAGATAGAACCAAACGACTATTGCGTAGACACGATCATTACAAAATATAATTTAAATTTTATAAGAAGCATTGCACAACGCATTGAAAATGTCGGACTGTTACTTTATGAGTTTTTAACATTAAATAAACCGTATATAACACTGGTTTGGGCAGATGCTATGACAACAAAAGTTTGTGGGGGCGATCTTTGTGTAATTATAATAATTTATTTATTTATTATTTTACCTGGTCAATTGCCATGCTATGTAGGCTTTCGTAGAGACTCTAGTTAGTGTTGGCGAGACAAACTGGTTTCTTGGCTATGTATTGGGAAACGTTATCCATATATTGCAGGTGCATTGTCTCGAAAAAACTAAGTGTACCTAGTTTAATCGCATACTAGTAGGTAGCGTGCCTTATTTATTGTTTTTTTTTTGTAATAGTTTTTTCCCTAAATATTTAACGAGAAAGTTAAGGAATTTATATAGATATAGATATAGATATTATTTTTCATATTTTTATTCCCGGCGCATTCGCCATTTTTAAAAGTGCATGATAATTTTGAAAAAATGGCGGATGCGCCGTCGTACATTTTTACCTCGATTTTTACTAAAAAAATAATGTTTAGATATTTACAGTAATTAGTTTACTTACGATAATTAAAAAATCATAACAATAAGTCTTTTTAAATATTTATGATACAATAAAACTGCAAGGAACAATTTTGTTGGTATAAAAAAAGTAATTAAATGTACTTTTTGAAACACACTACCCAAATTTCTAAACATTTTAAATGCGATGTTATAAAAAGCAAAAAATATGTAAATTTGTTTGACTCGGATCAATATTCAAACAAACATTTTATATTTGTTTTACCTGATTTAGATAATTCTGATAAATTTGTAACACAGGCCAATAACAACTTTATTTAATCCATTAAAACTGTGTTTTTTTAATCCGTTATTTTTTTTTTATTTTAGAAAATCATCACATTCGGATCAAACGATAACGTTAAAGTTACCGGCGCCCTCTCTCGACCTTGGAACGCCTCCACGGCTTTGTTACCCCTTGGTCATCATTCTTGTCAAGAACAACACAGTGGATAACGTCCATCCCGACGAAACCGTAAGAAAAAAAAACATTTTTAATTAAAATAAAAGAAATTAGTAATATGGAAAACCTGTTTATAATGGAACCCCCAATCTCTTACTTATAGTCTTACAAGTGCCGACATCTATCTAGAAAACTTGTTAATTCTTAGTTTTTTCTGATAGTATATTATCCTATAATGTCTTATGTCTCATAAGTGTTGGCACAAAATCTAGTAGCTCTTGAATTCACTGCAGAGAAAAAATGCCAAAAACGTAAATTCGTTTTAAAACACTAACAGTTATGAGTTTTTTCAGCCAAAGGACTCGTATCCAGGCCAGAAACTTATTTTTTATATTCCTATTATGGAATATGACCGTTCTAATATCACTTTTATCTATGGAATGACATATATTCCGTAAAGTGTTACAGAATAAAATATTCTATCATCTGATGACAGAATAAACACTCGTGGCGACATCTCTGTTTTTAATATCTAACAAATTTTAGACTGATCCAACCTCACTTTCTTCCAATTAAATTATTTGTCTATGGTATTTTTTGGAAACGTAGAAAAAGTATAGTCTGAAACACGTTTGGAATTGCATATTCCCCTCTCGTGAATCTGTCAAACTCGCCTTCGGCTCGTGTGTCAAACTTTTCACTCGAGCGGAATATGCCGTATTCCAAACTTGTTACAGAATATACTATTTTAAAAATATATAGGATTCCCAGATTCGTTTAGTTTTACTTATCAGCCCCAACGTAACGTTTTGTATCGTTTTGCGCGGAAAGAGTTTCTTAATTTTCTAAATTAGTTTTTCGCAGCTACTATTGTGATAATTCAATTTATTAGCACGTTTCCCAACCGACATGAAAAGGGCCTCGCACAGCACATTCTGCCGACGCACAGACAGGTATTTTGAGCTAAAACGTGGCCAAAACTCACTTTTGTTATTTTTTATTACTGGTCGTCTCAAAGCAGATAGATAACATCGCTATATTTTGGTGTAGTTGCTGCCTGAATTGACCATCCCATTTTTTAAAGGGCACAAAATATTTAATATATGTTTAATTTTAATATTTTTATTTTATTACTTGCATGTAAGTAGCTACTTTGTAATTTTTTTTATAAATAAATTTTGGATACATAATTTTTTTTATTTCTAATAAAAATACCTAAGTAGGTACTACCAGTACTATCCCTTGTATACCTTTAGAAATATGTCATTTGCTACCCTTTTGATACAGAAAAAGTGCCCAAATATTTTTGGCCTAGTTTAAGGTTAAAATACCTGTGCGACGTCCACGTTCGTTAATTTTAATTTTGTGTCATAACTAATGAGACATTTCCCTTTTATTTTTTACTTTGATTTGTTTACTTTTAGTCCTTTTAAATTTAAAAAACCTTGCAAATCAACAATTTAACTCGCTTTAAAAATTATTTTAGGTCGCCCTTATAAACGTCGTCCATATCAAGGACTCCGTATGCACGTTACCAACAAGTATACTGGCTCAGTACCTCAAACAAGCCAACGGACAACTTTCCTGTCTCAAAGTAAGCATCGAGTGCTCCGTTTAAAACGAAAATGTTTTTTTTTTCATAACCCATTAAAAAAAGCAAACAGACAAAAAGCTGATCAAAACTTCAAGAATAAGTCCTAAAATAACACATATTTCTTTAAAAATGTTTAGTGAAAGCCTTAGTACATCTAATGTTGATAGGACAGTTCGCTGTATTATTATTTTGTTATTTAGTTTATTGTCACTTCGATGCAACGCTAAAATCGTAAAAATATTCAAAAACCGTATTGTATTCTTCATAGGAACGTTAACAAAGTTTTAAACGAAGTTTTAAACTATTGAGGGTGTTTCGGAAGATTAGTAATGCATAAAGTATTGATATCTTTTAGTTAAAGATGTAAGAAAACGGTTTTTTTCAGATGTGAAAAAAACCTAGAAAAAAACGGCTTTTTTTGTTTTATATATATATATATATATATATATATAGATAAGTGGTCAGCTGTGACCTCCGTTAAGTTGAGAGGGCTACCTCTCCTCCGGGTCTGCGGAATGGACGATTTTTATTTTGATTGCATATATTGCGGGGGGGAGCCTTAAATATTAACGCCACCACAAGAGGGGAAGCAATTTTTAATTTTTTAAAATGTCAATTTTTTTACGCAAACTGGAGATACTCAAGATACAAAGTCACCTCCGAATATATATATAATTTCGGAGAAACAAACAGTCTTGTATCTTTCGACAGTGTTGCCGGATTTTCGGAGGTCGCAATGTATCTTTAGTATCTGGGATATATATCAGATTTATTTTGTCCACTGCTTCATGCTATATGTGCCATACATTATTTAGTAATAATAATAATAATTATTATTTTTGTTATAAAAGACAAAATATTAAAAATGGAGTACTTTGAAATAAATAATTTGTTTGATAAAAAAGAACGTATTGGTATATGATAGGTCTTGCAGGTATAATGGCAAAAAAAAATGTTTTATTACATAACCCCTGTAAAATCTTTATTTATCGTGCGATTTTTACCAGATTTGTTTTACTATATAGAAGGCCTACTATGTCAGTTTTTAAGAGTTAATTTTTAAAAATTCATATTAGCGATTTTTTTTAAACAAAATCTAAGCACGGCACTGGATTCACCACCCCTCAAAATGACCTATTATATTAAAAATGTAAATAGAAAAATATAGAGAAATAATAACTACAAAAATTTATTTTGTCAAGTTATACATGAAAAAAACATTGAAATAAAATTAAACTAATAGTACCTATAACATTATTATAAGTTTAATTTTATTTCAATGTTTTTTTATGGATAACGACGGAATAAATTTTTGTAGTTTAGTAAAGGGTCGTTTTGAGGGGGTGGTGAATCCAGTGCCGTGCTTAGAATTTGTTTAAAAAAATCGCTAATATGAATTCTTAAAAAATTACTCTTAAAAACTGACACAGTAGGCCTTGCATTTTGTACAAATATGGCGTTTGCTCCAAATATACAGTTTATCAAGATCTACACCTTAAAACAAATCCGGTTAAAATCGCACAATAATTAATGATTTTACAGGGGTGAGTTGTAAAAAAATGGTTCACATTGTATATGTACTGTTTTGCCTGCAAGTAGTTTTTTAAAAACTTTTCAAACCGATTCACTTTTGAAAGAATTATTAATAATATTATCAATAAGTTTTGTTATTTTAATATTTATTAGTAGATATTATTATTATTTTTAATATTTCAATTGTATTTTTGTATTATTTTTATTTTTTCTAATTTTTTTGTTATTTTTACTATTTTTATTATAATTATTTTTTTGTTAATATTTTTATTACGTAGGTATCTACTTCAATTATTTATATTCCTTTTATAATCTTCATTATTTTTATTTATTTTTATTTAGTTTTATTGTATTATTTTAATTGTTTTATTAATATTATTTTTATTTATAATTTTAAAAAATTAATCTTAATGTTATTATTTTTATTAATTTTTCTAATAATTATTATACCCAATCATTTTGAATATATTTATTAGTATACTTTTTTATTATTTTTATCAATTTTACTTTTTTAATTATTTCTTTGTTTCTAATATTTTTATTTTTAATATTTTTTTTTATATTTTTGATATTTTTATTATTATATTAATAAAAATATAAGAAAGAAATTTAAGTAAACAATAAATAGGGATAATTAAAAAACATAAGTAAAGTAAAACATATTTATCTATTAAGTTGTGAATAATAATTATTATAATTATAATTATCATAAGGGTAACTAATTAATGTTTTTTTCGTTTTTCTTGAGGTGTTGGACTTTGGCTTTAATAAGGGATACACTTCTTTTTATTTTCGTTTGTTCTAGAAAAGATTTAATTTCTTTGCTAGATGAAGTAATATTTTTTTAATATGGTTAATTAAAAGTAAAGAATCCAAAAATAAAAACGGCAACGGATTTTCATATTTGATACCTAAAAGATCATCCTCAATTTTTTTAATATGGTTAAGGAATTTATCCTTTATTAACCCGATTTCCATGTTTGTGCAGCCTAAAAATAATAACACATTTTTAAACAAATAAAAGTGAAAAAAGATTGTGTGAGTAAAAAATATTGTTAAAATCATTTTGTACTTTTTTTGTTTAGATTCTGTATCTTTTTTGGTAATGATTTCATCATTACTAGTATCGTCTAAATCTAAAAGAATTATTTTACAATATCCATTTCTATAAACATAATGCATTTACCTAATTATGTACTAAAAACTTACTTACCTTGAAAACCGACTTTCTGGATTATTAATTAAGTCCTGGAAGATATATTTTTAACTTAAATCGTTATTTTACACTTAAGATGTTAGAACAAAAGCGAAACTGCGTAACAAATAACATATAAGAAATATTAAAGATCATCAAGTCTGAACATCTATGACTGCGCGAGATATTGCAAGGTTGCCAAATTTCGGAGGTAACAAATGTACGTATACATGACGGAGGTAACTTTGGTATGGCTGAATCTGATTAAAAAGCGACACTAGCGCCAATTCATATATGGTGGAACTAAAAGTTCCTTTTTAAGAGACTGGGGGGTCAAAGTGACCTCCGAAATATTTTTGCACAGATTGATTACTGACACTCCCCCAATGTCAAAAATATGGTTAAACACTGTGACCTCCGAATTTGGAGGTCACAGCGTCATATATGAGGTCACAACGTATGAAGGGTCTCCGTTTTAGAGGTGACAATGTACCCTTTATCAATATATATATATATATATATATATATATATATATATATATATATATATATATATATAGGTATATATATTTATATACAAGGTGTCCCTAAACTTAGTGGCATAAATTTAGAAGCAGATTAAGCAAGTCAAAATAAGACGAAAATCTAAATAAATATTTTTCCTAATTACGTATGTTTGAAAGATACAGGGTGATAAAGTGTTACTTATCATATCAGTTTTTTTTAATATAACTTCAACTATGGTAGACTTGGAATGGTAATATTTTCCGAACAGTCACTTACTACCAAAACACATATTCACACTTAATTACAATTGTTCGAGTAAACACAGTGTCGTAGAAACAGAGGTTGCTTAAGCTTATTGTCTCATACAAACTTTGAGGTTAGGTTTTTATAGCATTTGATGCAGTTTTGTTAAAAAACTGATATGATAAGTAACACTTTATCACTCTGTATCTTAGAAACATAAGTAATTAGGAATAGTATATTACACTACAAGGGCAGAAAGTGTGAGATTCCTGCACTGCGCATCATGGCGCGCAGTTCAGGGCTCCCACACTTTCTGTCCGTGTAGTGTATACTATTTTTCTTGCTACCCGGCCGAAAATACAAATACAAACGTAAACTTTCTGCCGTGGAATCGGGGACGAAACAACGTATTTTCGGCCGAGGTAGTAAGAAAAAATATTTATTTGGGTTTTCGTCTTATTTTGACTTACTCAATCTTTTCCTAAATTTATGCCAATAAGTTTAGGGACACCTTGTATATATATTCTGTCAATAAATAACATCAATCTTAAAAAATGGACTAATTTTTCAAAATGAAATTTTGAGTAAAATGTATATTAATAATAAAGTGAAATGTAGAATATATTACATTTTTCATCATTGAAAATTTTGACCGAGACTAAAAAATCTGATTTCTTATTATTTGGTAGTTTCCACATAAGAAACCAATAGCCATGTAATACTTTTTCATCATTGAAAACTTTAACCGAGACTAAAAAATCTGATTTATTATTATTTGGTAGTTTCCACATAAGAAACCAATAGCCATGTTAAACTTCTACACTAAGAGAAGGATAAAAAAAATCCAAATTTTTTGCGATTTTTCGGATTTACATTTACTAAATGTCATTTAGTGGCTAATTTTAGTCCACGAACCGGACTGGAAACATAAAAAATTAGGCAAATGGGACTAATCTTGAAAAAAAAACCTAAAATTAGAAAAAAAAACCTGAAAAAAAAACAAAAAAACGGACGGTTTTTTTCAAGTCACATCTCTACTTTGAGTATTTAAGAAATCGCAAATGTAGATAAGTAAATAGTTTAATCGTTGAGTGAAGAGGGGGATTATTTCTACCCCCGAATGGCCGGCCTGCGTGGTTTTTCTACATGGTCATGGTCCAAATCAATTGTTTATAACCTAAAAATAATTTTGAAAAAAAATATTTCTATATAAATATTTTTTTTAATGCCGTTAAATACTGCCCAAAAGATAATACGTATTTATTTAAATGAAATGGGATTTTTTTTATAATTGACTAGCAAATATTGGTACAAAAATATGTCTTGAGTGTTATACAGTGGTAGGGTACTATATTTTTTACAAAATTATTCATTGGGAATTGCTGTTGGTAAGTTATAAAATAAAAAAAGACAATGTTTTAATTTTAACTTTGATCTTTGATATTGATATATTGATTTCAATGGTAGTTTTTTTGATAAAAAATTTAGACATCTTTTTCATAGAGGGATGAATTTCCTACAAAAAAAATCCTCGAAATGTCTTTGCCAGCGAGTTTTTGAACCACAATTAATATAGTAAGTATTCACCGAGTCAGAGACCTCAAAGCCAGTTATTTTGATATAGTTTAAGCTGTTTTTAACTAAAGTCGTCCACCATTTTGTTTTTTGGAAATCTAATTTTGAATTCGTGATCAACGACCTCATACAGTTATTTTGATGTAGATAAATCTGTTTTTTACAAAAGTCCGCCATTTTGTTTTATGGAAATCTGATTAGTAATCAGTGATTACACATTTGTTATCAGCCCCCTACAGTTATTTTCATGTAAATAAAGCTGTTTAAAAAAAAGTTGTTTGCCATTTTGTTTTTTGAAAACCTAAATTTATATTCACGATCAGCAACCTCTGAAACCTCCATACAATTAATTTGAATGTAGACAAAGCTCTTTTTAACAAAAGACGTCCGCCATTGGAATTTGTGATCGGCGTCCTCGAAAACCCCTGACCACACAATTTCATGGTTTTAACCAACTTTTTGGCTTTTTGCCCCACTGTGCAATGTCGTATTTTGAGTTTATTATGTTTATCAATCTACAAATTTTAGTAAAATAATATTCATATTAGTAATGTTTTTTTACTCATTTACATTTCGGCACCTAACAAAGAGTTAGGTGCCTAAAAATGTTCGTTTCAAACGGAGCACTGCAGTAAGCATGCGCACTAACTCGCTGCGCAACGCAACACCATCTATCCGTCGCTTAACTAACCTTTTTAACATTTGTACAGCAATTATATCTCGCGACGGGAAATCCAGGTGGTTACGAGGAGGGAACGATCCCGTTGGCGGTGGCCGAGCCGGTCGAAGGCGGCCCCGGTCCGATTGGACGCACCCTGGTATGTCCAACCAATGAGGACTCGCCGTTGTGGAACACTTCTGGCGAGCAGCTGTGCGTCGTTTGTCAATTTTTTCCTCTCTCCAGGGCGCTGTTGCCGTGCAGGTAAGTTTTTGGAGGATTGTAATCACAATTTTTTCTCTTATTTAGGACAATTTTAGATGTTTTTTTGAGAAATGTTAGGTTTACGTGCTTGGGCGCCCATATAATTTTTTTCAAGAAGTGGCAAACACAATTATTACGTACAAAGGCCGGCAAAATAAAATATTCTGTTTGCTGCAGGGTGCCCAACCTTTTGGGGTAATTTGTGTGCGCTGATTCCAAAAATGACAATTTTGCTCAATCAGCTTCTATTTTTGCAAAATTGTGAGAACACTGTAAGTGACAAAATAATTTATGGACATTCATAAAGATATTTCCTTTAAGAAGCATGTTTTTAACGAAATAAAATCTTTTTTGGCCAAAATTCAGCTATTTTGTTGTCACGCCAACAAGTTTTATTCCATTTTAATGAAATTTATAAAGTGAATTTTTTTTATTGACTTTTAGTCTTTTTAAGACTATTTAGCCAGCTCATGATAGGTATTATTTTTGTTTTTAATAAACAAGTACAACACCCAAGGCTGTGACCAGGAATCGAACCCGGTACCTTTAGACGCAGATTGCTTACAGCTATGTAGCTCAACCCACTGCGCCATCCTCGGCCCCTACAAAATGTATAGATTTATACTCGTATAATATATTAATAATATATTTATGTACATATTATGTACTTTATTTTAATAAAATTTTAACTTAATTAAATAAAAATTGCTAAATGACACTTAAATCAACCGCGCGTGTCAACATTATTAGTTATGGTCAGTTACTGCTCCGGGCATGAGTACTTTTCCTAAGAAAAATCTGTGAACAAAAGTAAACTGTTAAATCATTTAATTTCTTTTATAAAAGTCATGTTTACCATTGTTTTGCCATTTATTTTAGCAGTGACTTATGCAAGAACGTTTTGTATATTTTTTTAACATTTAACGATTTGGATTAAATACATATTTTAAACTTTATATTTTTTCAAAAAATTTATTTAAAAAGTACAAATGCCAGAAGCGAAAATGACTGAATATTACTTTTGAAACACGCGGTTGTTTTAACACGTTTGCGACGATGGACGATGGATTTCGGTGGGACGATTTTTTTTTTATTTTTATATTTCTTTCAACGATGGTACACCAGTGTAAGAATAACACTTCTATATGTTTAAAAATTTAGTTTTAATATTTAAAAAACTAAATTTTTAAACATATTACCCAGCCGGCGAAGGCTAAAGTCATCTTTCAGGTCATAGATGGCGTAAAGCACGCTATATGTGCAGAAAATGACAAGACATATAGAAGACCACGTCGAAGGACGGTAGATGGCGACAAATTACTTTCGTCTCACCGCTTTGAATGATTGCATTTTCTATAAAAGGAAGGGCAATCAAAATTTCGTTCGTGTTCCGCACCAAACAGCAACTCGGCACTGATGAGATCCAATAGATCGAAACAGCTGTCTGCCGATGCTGGTGTGGAACACGAACGAAATTAAACAAAAGCGGAGACGAAATAATTACTTCTATATGTGTTACCCAAATATTAAACTTTTTCCTTAGAAACGCAGTGTTTCAAATGCGGATTTATAAGCTAATAATAGTGTAACACAAATGGTACACGCCGGCTCCAGATTAAATGTGCTATGTACCACCAGTGGTAAAACATGATTTTTAGGAAAAATACTTTATAAATGTGTGGGAAAAATTTAATTTTTGTTAATTTAATTAGGACCCATAGCTACAATGATGATGATCTTTAGTTTAAGTATTTTAAATGTTTGCATATTGAAAAAAAACGTTTTTTACAATATCTTGAAAAAAAGATTGAGCAAAATGGCCATTTTTTAAATCAGCGCACCCAAATTACTCTAAAAATGTTTACCCTGCAGCAAAATGGCTGTTGACCAGTGTTACAGTTGGCAAAAAAATACATTACTTTCAAATTATGTATAGGTTATAAAATATATTAAAAAAAATATATATAAAATTATTTTAGTACATAAAATTTGGATTTACGCTACAACAAATTGTGATATAATATCACTGAAAAATAAGTTTTTTTTTTCAATAGCAATTTCATTTTTGCTCTTGGATTGTTCATTGTTAATATTTCCCTCTTAAAGCTAGGTCACGCTTTTCACAAATAGAAGAAATTTGCGCAGTAGTTCAAAATTATCTACTGGGAAACATTCACACAGTACTATGGAAGAACAAATTTCAAAATTAAATATTCAAAAATTTCCTAAATTTCCAAAATATCCAAAAAATTTAAAATCTCCAGCTTAAAATTTTAAAAAAGCTTTAAAGTTCAAAAGCTAAAAAGAAGATAAAAATCTAAAAAAAGGTTAAAATCTCAAAAGATTAAAAAGTACTTGAGTTGGGAATGGGGAGAATGACTTTGATATTTCGTTATTAAACAAGTAGTTGTTGTGAAATCTAATACGATAAGTAGACGAAATTTATTAAAAAAATCATAACCTAATAGAACATTTTAGACCAGGGGTAGAAAGCTTATATTATATCCGAGCATACATTTTCCTAGCCGAGGCAATAGAATGTGTGCGAGGCAATTAAAAAGCTTTCGTTGCCGTGTTTTATGTACTATTTTTTTCAAGCATTTTAATTTCTTTTTTCTACTTATATTTCACATTATTTGGGATTTTTTGTAAATAATGGTAACCAACATAACCGCCCGGCCTAGCAACGTGAATAATGAACTCAAAACTTTAAATCATAAATTTCCCTTATGGTTTACACAAGAGCTTAAAAATCTTATTATACAAAAAAAAATTGCTCATAAAACGTATAAGCAACTCCCTAGTCAGAATAATTTTAACATGTTTAGCCGCCTAAGAAATCAGTGTAAAAATCTTACGGAAAGTTGTTATAAAAATTACATCGGTTCATTAGAAAACAACATTAATTCTAACCCAAAATTTTGTTGGACTTATATTAATAATAGAAAAATGCGTAACTCCATGCCCAGTAAAATGGTGTATAACAATACAGAGTCTGATAATCCTAAAGTAATAGTTGAATTTTTTGCTGATCTTTTTAGCTCTGTCTATGTAAATAAATGCGTTATAAATGTACCTGATTTTAATTACTCTAACTCGATAAATTTAAGTAGCTGTGATATTAATGAATGTGATGTTTTTAATGAATTGTGGCGTTTAAATGTAAATAAAGCTGCGGGACCAGATGGTGTTCCCCCATTACTTTTAAAAAATTGTAGATTTTCACTGACTAAACCCCTAACTGACTTATACAATTTATCAATTAATAATGGCGAGTTCCCAGAGTTGTGGAAAGAAAGTTATATTGTCCCTTTGTTAAAAAATGGAGAAAGAAGCAATGTAAAGAATTATCGCCCTATATCAAAAATTTCGCAAATATCCAAAGTTATGGAAAAACTTATAACAAATAAAATAACACCTTTGTTTAAAAATATTTTAATAAACGAGCAACATGGGTTTAATAAAGGCAAGTCTACGTCCACAAATCTACTTGTTTATGAACAAGATTTGTTAAATGTCTTGGAGAAACGAAGCCAGGTGGATTCTATCTATACTGACTTCTCCAAGGCATTTGACACAGTAAACCATCAAATTTTGCTTGCAAAGATGAAGGCTTTGGGCGTATCGGGAAACTTTTACTGTTGACTAGAGAGTTACATAACCTCAAGAAAACAAACAATTATTTTACAAAATCAATATAAGTCTGAGAAAATTCAGGTTACTTCAGGTGTACCACAAGGAGGGCATATTTCCCCTCTCTTATTTAACTTGTTCATAAATGATATAGGCAATGGTGTTAAATTTTGTAAATATCTTTTATTTGCCGACGATCTTAAATTATACAAAGAAGTAAATTCCTTAAGAGACTGCTTGGATATTCAATCAGATTTAAATCAAATTCAACTGTGGTGTGATACAAATGAAATGAAATTAAATGTAGATAAATGTAAATATATTAGTTTTTATAGAAACATGAATCCTGTGATATATATACGGATATCCGTACTCATTAAATAATATAATTTTAGAAAACGTTCATGTCATAAAAGACTTAGGTGTTTACTTTGATAAAAAAGTGACATTTGGCTACCATGTTGATTTTATTGTGAATAAGGCTTTTAAAATGCTGGGATTTGTTAAAAGAAGCATGAAAGATTTTAATGTTCAATGTGTTAAAACTGTTTATATGTCCTACGTACGTAGCATTTTAGAATATTGTTGTGTAATTTGGCCTCCTTTCTATGTTAATTCTTCCATAAAAATTGAAAAAGTCCAAAACAAATGTTTGCGATTTTGTGGATTTAAGTTAAGTATTGAGTGTAAATATAGTTTAGAATTAGTAAGAAATGCAATTCAACTGAATTTGCTAAGTCGTAGGAGAACAGAAATATGTGTTGTTTTTTTATTTAAATTGCTTAATAGCTATATAAACTGCCCCGACTTGTTAGGGCAAATTAATTTTAATACCCCGATAAGACGAACGCGTAACACATTATTATTTCACATAAAAAAGTACAGAACAGAATATGCTAAATTCATGCCTATAAGCAGAATTTGCTTTGATGCAAACAATCTTGATTTGGACTTTTTTAATTGCTCATTGGACGTATTCAAGAAACAATGTAATTATAAAATTAATTGTTATCCATCCTAATTGTAGACATTTGAATGTATTTTTTTGTAAGTGGTTTAATACCGTCAATAAAGTTATTATTATTATTATTATTATTATTCACGTTGCTAGGCATCAGTGACTGGCTGATTTCAATATTCACTGTTATTAGAATCAATCGGGTTTTAAATTGGAAAAAGGTAAGGTTAACAGAGGTTATTAATCTATGGTAAACAGATCGCGACCTGAGAATTAGATTGTTCTATCTCCCAAAATTTAAAGAGGAACAAATAGCAGTTTAAAGTTTAATTTAAATACAAATGAAATTTTAAAAAGCTGTTTTTGCGTGTTTAGGTTTTGGGAGATTCTATCTTTTCTCGATTTTTATGTAAGAATGTCATATTCTCGTACGCAAAATCGTTGAAGAATGAAGCTCATTCTTAAACGATTTTTGGTAACATTTAGTTTTTAAGTATTGGTACCCCCAAAATGTCAAACTGATTAATAACCTCAAATTCATTACTTTTATTGAAAATGAAGCCTTTATTATTGTTTTGTAATATTAAGCTTGCTCCAACAATGCATTTTAATGCAAAATTTTAAGTTTAATGTAAAAAAGTGCAGTTCAAGTTGTACTTGTGCAGGATAACAAATATTGTCATTTTGTGTTGCCAACTGACATTTTGCGAGAAAAATCCCCTAACTAACAACGACCACAAAACAATTAAAAAAACCTAAATAAAAGTTAAAATCGAGAAAATAGTATAAATCACACGTTGCAGAAGGCTATTCTTCCACTCCTTCGTCGCTCGAGGCCAAATTTCGAATTCGTGCGAGAATATGTGGCCTTCTGCAACTTGTACTTTAATATACTATTAAAATCTGACACGGAAAAACAGCTTTTTAAAATTTCATTTGTATATAAATTAAACTTTAAACTGCTATTTGTTCCTCTTTAAATTTTGAGAGATAGAACAATCTAATTCTCAGGTCGCGAGATGTCAGAGTTGCTTATATATACGAGGGGCGACTATAATGATCTTTAAAATCGGGGAAAAGTGAGGTTATAATAAATTTTGTTATCAACGAAAATTATTTAATTGGAGTAGAAAAAGCATAGTATTACACTTGAAATAATGCACATTATTTACTCGGATGAATTACGTCTCTCGCCTAACGGCTCGAGACGCAAACCTCATCCTTATGAATAATAGCCTGCATTATCTCTCATATAATAATAAACTATTTTTGTACGAAGGTTTATATTAATGACTTTTCAACAAGTATTAATATGAAGTCTTTCTATATAGTCCAAGTCTTATGAGTATTATAATATATGAAGGGGTAAGAAGCAAAAGGGTACAAGTGCAAAAAAGAAAGCTATTAACTTTTAAAGTTTTTGCTATATACAAAAATCTAAATACTTGTTTCAATATTGTTGTTTGCATTAATCAACATGCAGAGTTTTCACGAAAATTAAAAAAAAATTAGACTAAATTAAAAATAATTTGACAGATATTTCAAAAACTTTTTGTCTGGGGGGCTCGAGTGTCTATTTGAGAAATTTTCTGTAGAATTATTTTCAAATTTATTGATCTCCCGAGTGGTATTCCAAAGATTATTTTTTGTCGGAATAGAGTATCATTTTTCACTACAAAACATTTGAAATTGTTTCCAAATTTATTGCTGGTTTATATTTTTTCATGTATTATATATTTTATATGAAGGTTTATTTCATTCTCAGATGTTGAATTAAACCTTTTGCTGTTCATTTTAAAATACTGATGACAGATATCTGTCATCTGACATTCATACAATTTTCGCGAAAATAAATTCTAGTAGATATTATTTCCGATATAATAATCTTTTGATTGGCTACACACAAAATTGAACATTTCTATTGGCTTTTAGAAACGTCAAAAAATAGTCATGCTAAGATTCACTTGTACCCTTTTGCTTCTCACCCCTTCATATATTATATAAGATTAAAATAATTATACTCTTGAAAAAAATATATAAATTAGATAATGATTAACGATTAAATAAAAACAAGACACGAATTTAATCCAAAATAAGTTACACTTGTGTGATGTATTATACAAGTTCACATGTATTTTTTTAAGTAAAATAATGCAAAAGTACTCTAAAAAAGTCTAATCGAGTTATTTTTTTAACTTTTAGGCACACTTGTATTTGCGCCAGTTGTTTCGACAAACTGGAAAGATGCCCGATGTGCCGAGGACCCATAAAAAGTTATTTCTGCATTCGGGGCGAAGAATACATGCCTATACAGTCGAGCCCGAAAACAGCGCCTCCTCACGGCCCGATTTATAATTGGCTCGACAGTTGGAACGACCGACTCACAGATTTCTTGGGTTTCCAAAGATAATGTAAATTAAACAACGATGCTGCATAACTTTTGTATTTATTTATATACAGAGGGGGACGACAAAAAATTGTGTCCCCCTGTGTTGTTTCTAATTTATTCGTTATAGAATTCGATTTTTACGAGGTTGCCAGATCACACCCGCCTATTTATTAATTCAATTAATTAAATAAAACGGAACTGCAACGCAAGTGTTTTTTTTTCAATCTCTATTTTATTTTATTGTTTTTTAGTTGATGATACTCAGTAGGAATAGTAAAATTTTTACTTTTTATGTGTATTTTCAAAGACCGTAGTGATAGAAAAGTGTTTACTATACCATAAATATCAATTATATATACCTAGTGTCAAATTTAATAATATATACTGATTATTGCGTTATTTTTTTATCTGCTTTTTATTAAGATAATAATTATTCCAATCTGAAGGTTAACATTTTTTTAAGTGTTTAAAAAATGATAATTTTTCTGCAGTTTTGAATAAAAATAATTTTTAAATTTTAAACAACATAAAAATGGGATTTTTAATAGTTAAAACTCTCTTAATCTAGTCTTAGTAATCTTTTTTTTTCTTTATATTTATTACATTTTTATTATTTAAAATAATTGGTAAAAATTAAGAGACTTTTTTTCTATTATAAATATTATTTTTATACCACTACTACTACATTAGGTTTGTGTAATTACTTATTATTAATTAATTAATGATAATTAATCTATTTAATATTAAAATAATTATCATTATTAATAAATTGTAATTATTTCTTTGTACATTATGTTGATTAGACTTGTGTGATTTTCTGTATATTTTTTGCAATAAAAACATGTATTTTATATGTCAATATCATGTAATTATAATTACATTTTTAATTGTATTTACAGTATATTTTAGTATTTATATGACTTAAGCCTGTGATAATATATACGTCTAAAATAAATAAATGAATATGTAAGAAAATGTTTGTTTTAATTACTATATTACTATATTTTTATAAATATTATATATCTATATACACAATAGAAAAACATTAGAGGCATGTATAGTTTAAATAACATTATATACAATATTTAAATCTTAATAATAATTTTTTTTAAATTAAATGTTATGAAAACCAATCAGCTGTCAAACCTCCAAAAAGTGAAGCTGCTCCTGCACGAACAGCTGCAGTGGGGTCTTGGGACCTTTTTGGGGACATTTTTAGTGACTTGGACCCAATTGTCTAAAAAATAAATATAAAATATAAATAAAAATTGTTAGTAAGTTTTTTATATTTAGGGTCTTTTGTTAAAAAGCAACAATTAATAAATTAAAACTGTCTAAAACTGTTAAATAAAACCTATCTAACAACAACACACTAGGAATATTTACCCTAAATAGTAAAATTGATAAAATTCTGTAAAAAATCGTTAAAAATTAACTTCAAAAACAATATATTTAAGAAACTACCTTGATTTCTTTCTGCGCAGAAATCCCAGACACCTTCTGCGCAGGTGCTGTTATAGGCAACAATGGGAACCATACGCTCGTGGATGGTACACTTAAAGCAATAACTGACGGATCTTTTTCTAGTTCTTTGGATTTTTCAGGAATCCCCAAATTGCTGAGTTGACTAGAGGAAGGAAGTAAACACCCGAAAATAATCTAAAAATATATTATAAAAATATGATTTTAAAATAATTAACGATAAATTTGAGAAGACAAATATAGTTTTAGTAAGATTTGCTGTCCTAAAGATTTTAGGTTTTTTTGTAACTTTTGTAACGCGTTTAAATTTTTAAAATATTTTGACAAAATCTAAGATAAATATCTTACTTGTGATTGACAAACAGCCCTTTTGACATTATTTTGCAGATAAGAGTAAAAAACGTCCAAGTCAAAAGGGTCAATTTTTGACCTGTATTTATCACAGATTTCCTGGGAAAGCCCCATCAATTTTACATTTTCCCTGGGAATGCAAAAAGTAGTCAAAAACTTGACGTCAAACAAAAACTGCAGGGCCTGGTTTTGGTTCAAATCAAACTCCATTATTTTTTTGTACCTGTTTAAAATAATTTCGGAATTTATCTCGATAAACTGCAGATGAACATTTTTTGGAATGGTATGTGGAAGAACACAATGTAAATCGTTGCTTAATTCGACAATTATGTTGTGCAAAATTAAGCTTTCTTTAAGTGGAACTCTAATATGGGATTTAAACACTTTATCTTCAGTTTGCTCTTGAATTTCTATGTTATCCCATTTCTAAAAAATAAAAAACCTATTATACTTGGTTAGATGACATTTTTACTACGCCTTGGTGCCAAGTAGGGTTGGGTCTGAGGATTTACAGGACAGATATGTTATTTTTATTTAATAAATTTTAAACCACACTAAAAACCGACAAAAAAATTAAAAAACAATTAGTAATACTACTTATTTTAGAAAAGAAATATGTCATACTAGGTAATATCTGATTTTCTAAATCTTGAAAAAAACAGATTTGGAATGAAAAAATTCACATTTTTGTTTTTAATTTAAGACACTTGTAATATTAGTACCTATTTAAGAAATACACATTTGTTTTTCTCTTATATCTTAGTTTTTAAAATAATTATGATTTTTAAAACTTTTTCTTTTTGTTTTTTTAGTGGGAAAAAACAAAAAAAACGTATTTTAAAGCTTTTTTGGTATGTTAAAAATGTCAATTTAAGCTAGAATATAACTTCCTAGTTACTTACCGCCAAAAATTTGATAAATTTCTTAGGATCAACAGCATTAAAATCTGCTTCCAACTTTTTCTCGTTTTTTTCGCAACAATTATTCACCCCAAATTGACCATAAATTAAAGCTTGTTTTATTGAAAATGTTGCAAATTTTGCTCCAATCCTCAGTGATATTATTAAAATTGCAACAAGTGTTAAAATTTGGACATAGTTGAGAAATTGCTTGCAAAAATCTCGCACAAACTAGGGATTTTGCTACTTTGTTGTTGGAATCTTGTGTAGATTTTGTTAAATTGTCAATAAAATTTGTTATCCTAGAAATTAATTTTTTATAATATTAATAACAATAATATGTTTATTGTTTAAAGATCAATACAAAATTGCTATAAAACTTGTCAAAATACAAAGATAAAAGATTCTGAAAAATTAATAAAACTGTATAAAATGATATATTACAAAAAAGAAGATTTAAAAAATTATAAAAAAGTATAACATGTTTATTAATATTAATATTATTAATATTAATATTTAATCCAGTTTTATTAATTGTATTGATCTTTAAACAATGAACATATTATTGTTATAATAACAATATTATATAAGATCATGATGCAGAAATATATAAAATAGTGACATATATTTACCTACCTCACGTTGGTACATTTGGAGTTTTTAACTCAAAAAATATATAATCTTCCAAACCTTTTTTTTGAATAGTGATTTTATTAGCTTTACTTTGCAAGAAAAATTAAAATCGCGTATGTAGCCGTTGTGGAGATATACACTTAAATGTATTTTTTTAAATTAATGCGCAACAGTAAGCTTCCCCAGTAGCACAAAGATATTGGCCCAATATTCGTAATAATATTGGGTCAATATATCTTTCGTCAGATTTTTTCTAGCATGGTCCAATATTGAAACCCAACATTGGCCCGAAGTTGTTTGACATTATATAACCGATATTGGAAATCCGCATTGACCTAGTACTTATTACGTAGTAGGATTTCTAAAGGTGATATGTCACGATCGTGTCGACAAACGTTTGTTTTCAGGAATATAGTAGGTACTTAGGGGCGTAGAAGCGGGGGGGGGCGGGTGACAATGCCCACCCAAATGATAAGGGGGGAGGGGGTTACTTGATATAAAATGTACCCTCCAAATTCTTTGAAAAAATCTACCAATAAGACGTGTTCTTAATTACGATGACATGCTAAAATAGTTTGTATCGTGTGCTAAAATGATCAGCTTGAGCTTTATTAACGTAATAACGAAATTAATTGCTAATAAGACAAGAAATCGCATATTACCCTTGTTATTCTTACGGTAATATACAAGAATGGCCCATTTGGTGCTAAACAATAAAGATGGTAGTCGGTTGCGCCACCCCCAAACTTAAAACCGTTCCTGCGCCACTAGTATAGACATATCCTGGAACAAACGTGTGTCGTTACATATCACTTTTAAAAATCCGAAAGCATTGTTGACTATATTTATTTAATGATATATTGGCGTAAAATAATATGCCACTAAAATCAAAGTTATGATTACGGTACATAGAAGACACATTTATCATCTGGACCCACGGAGAAGCGGAACTGAAGAAATTCCTGGACCATCTCAACAGAATTCCCAATTTCACAATGGAAACCTAGAAAGAACACCAATTACCTTTTCTGGATGTATTTATAATCAATAAAAATAATGGCAAAATAGGGCACAGGCCCAGTCTCACCACCACCCGTCACAACTGCAGACACTTGTCACGCGATTCGAAAGGCTGGCGGATGATGACCACAAGAAACAAGAAGACCTAAAAATCCAAACGACGCTACAGCAAAACGGATTCTCCAAAACCATCATCAAAAAGGCTCTTGGACCACGACGCCGGTGAAAAACTACAGAGCACGAGAACAACAAACCAACTTCGAAGGCCTTTCTTCCCTACGTGAAAGGGACAACCGAGAGAATAGGCAAAGTTCTCAAAAAACATAACATTGAGACAACATTTACCGCCCCAAGAAAGATCGGCAAATACTTCCAAACGCCAAACCAAAAAGAGTTGGAGGCACAAGGGGTGTACGAAATTCCTTGTAAGAATTGGGACGGAAGCTACGTGGGACAGACCAATAGACGTAACAACGTTAGACGCGAAGAACAGCGTAACGCAGTCTTGAAACAATAAAAAACATCGTCCTTAGCTGAACACGTCCGAAAAACCTCCCATGAAATTGACTTTAAAAAAACAAGGGTCTTGGCTAGCATCGAACAAAGGAAAAAACGTACCATCCGTGAAGCCATTGAAATAGAAAAACGTCCAAGATACTTTAACACAAGAGACGATACACAGAGACTACCAACTGCATGAAAACCAGCTTTTACAACCACCAAAACGCCACGCAGATTAACGAGATCAATGGAGCCGAACATAACACAGGTTCAATCGCAGTCACGGTTAATGACGCGGAAAGCGTCTAACTCGCAGCAGAGCAGCAACAACAGCCCAGCAGATAAGACCTGAAGATGGTACATGAGATTGTACCGAAACGTCGTCAGACATACGGTTCTTTTAAGAACCAAAAACCGACAATACGGAGCAGATCCCGAAAAACCACTAAAACATATATAAATAAATGTAAATATATATATATATATATATATATATATATATAAAAATACAAGGCTACAAACGCGATTTTAATTTTTCTTGCAAAGTAAAGCTAATAATATTACTATTAAAAAAAATGTTTGGAAGATTATATAATTTTTAAGTTGAAAACGCCAAATGTACCAACGTGACCTAGTATAAAATAAAATGTTAATAAAGTGGAAGAACAGATGTTTTCTTTTAAACACGCTGAACTTTGCCGTTTGAAATTGTAAAATGTTTCAATAAAGACTTATATTATTCTTATTATTATTATTATGTGTACAATAGGGTGTCCGTTATTTACCAACTTGTTTTTTTTGTTCGCAGCGCCCCCTTTAGTTTATGACCTAAAAAATTATAAAAAAAAATATTCATATTAAACCGTGCCACAAAGACGATACATTTTCCATTTAAATAACATGGGGTTTCGGCAAGTTTTACATTTAATTTTTTTCTCTCAAGCAAGTTAATATAATAATATATAGGAAATTGAACGATGTACAAAAAAGCTTTCCTATGATTTTTTCATAAATTCACTGATTTAAAAGTTGTTTAAGGTTAAAGATGCAAAATTATAATTATTTTTATTAAAATGAGTTGTTTATTTTTGAAAATATGTAATTTTATTGTATTATTGAAAAAAGATAAGTAAAAATTATTGATAAGAGATGAAGTTGGCAATAATTATTATAAGTAGTGGTTTTGGGCATTTTAGTCACAGGCTGAAATTAGCTTTATTATATATTAGAGAAAAGTGAGGTTATTTCCATTGACATTTGACAGATGTCAAATGTTTAACAAATATAATTGGCTTTAATTTCTTTTTTGTGTTCGTCGTAGATAAAGTATACTTAGTATGCAACTCGTTTTATAAACTTATCTAGACACTCGTTTTTAATAAGCTTCGCTTGTGCCTAGTAAAACTTGTAACTAAAATGGCGTTTTTAAAACTTGATACATAATACCTATACTATTATATAAAAGATGCCACAGACGATGGGTGATTGACCTACTTCAAACTTCAACTTTGAGACACGAAAACTGTGAAGTGCGACTTCTGCCTTCTGTGGTCAAAGAACTAAATCCTACTTTAGTGCGCATGCGTAACTACAAATTTTTTCGTAAAAATAATTGTTAAAAGTATTTCTACTTCATTAGCTACAGCTGAAATTTTTCATTGTATAACATTTTATAAAATCGTATAAAATTTTGTAAAATTTCACAGAAATAAAAAGATTATGTAAAAAAAGTAATCGCACTAAATTTGAGTAAAACTAGTACCAGATTGTTTTTTCGGGAGAAAAAAAATGTAAAACTTGCCGAAACCCCATGTTATTTAAATGGAAAATGTATCGTCCTTGAGGCACGGTTTAATATGAATATTTTTTTTTATAATTTTTTTTGGGTTAAAAACTAAAAATTTAGGGGGCCCTGCGAACAAAAAAAACAAGTTGGTAAATAACGGACACCCTAGTGTCCAAATAAATTACTTGTAAAAAACTCTGTCATATTATAAAAATCTTTTTTAGTTTAAGCTTAAATAGTCTCAAAATATCCCAATTCCAACAGTAGTTTATTGTAACTTTTTATACATAAGTTAATGTATGAGAAGGGATTCTGTAACCCTCAACATTTCTCGTATTATATTTATAATTAAAGTTGTTTTTATTAAAAATATTTATAATATAAAAAAATTAATGGAACTTTTGAAAATTAAAGCGCGAATTATAAAGTCAACGTTATTTTAAGTCAATGATATGTTATTATTTCATTCATTTAAATGTTTTTCATAAACTTTATATTAAAAATTTAAACCGTTTTTTACTAAAAACAAATTAAAGAGCGCTAGCGCCAACGCCAACTGTAAGTTTATGAAAATAGAAAACAACGTACAAAATTTTGTACTTTTAAAAACAGTTTTACAAGTTTTACGAAGTTTTAGATTAAATATAACTCTAATCATTCTGTTTGTAATACAAACGTAAATATACAAGTTCATATATGTAATACATATGTAAAAAACCTCTGTGGAGCTGTTAATTTTCATTTTTAACATGGCATAAAATGCGCTATTAAGTTTTTTGAACAAATAGTTAATGTGACTCTCCCAATTTATGGTTTGTGATCAATGTTTAAACCCAGGAATTTTGTTTTTTGATAAGTCAGGCAAACATTGTAAATTATTAAAGAACATTGTTAAATGTTTAAAATGGTTTAAAATAAGTTTGTTTTTTATTTGATTTGTTACTAGAACCAAGCTTTTGGAAAAAATTGCAATGCTGGTATCAAAGTAATTTACGTAAGCGTCGTTTATGTTTATAGGTAGATCGTTTATGTATAAAAATAAATATTAATTAATCCCTTAAGGGACCAGTAACCAATCTATGTGCAATTCCATAATTAATATGTAGTCCTTAAAAATGATTTTACCAATTTTGTCCTTAATACTTCTTTCAGAAAAAAACGATGTAACCTACACTTTCTCTGTCGTTCTCGGCCATTTCTCTGCCATTCTCCACCTTTTGTCTACATTAACTCTGCTACTACTTCTTGGCAGAGAAAACTCTGTCGTTTCTCTGAAACTACTTTTTGGCAGAGAAAATTTCTGCCAAAATAGTACCTCTTATTCCCAAATTATAAAGCTACTCTGTTTTTAACAATTTCTACTTTTACTTACTGTTCTGAATTTTTTAAACACTCCATTCTTAAATGATTAATTAGTTCATCTCTATCAATGAATTTCTTCTTGAATTTAAAATCCTTCACATTAGGAACAGAAATATTACAATTTGTGTTGAATTCAACTCCAAAAAAATACTGAAAAACATCTTGAAGCAATTCAAAATATTTTAAATCCAGCTTTTCACACAAATTTATTATATTTGTTGAAAAACCTTTGGTTTTCATTGACAAACCTTAAAAAAAAAACAAATTTAACAAAGTTTTACTTTTTTTGAATAAAAATTACCAATATGTTTATTCTCATTTTTTGAAACATCCTGTATATCATTGCTCCATGCATACCACCTTAAATCTAACTCTAAATACGACGATTTCACGCATCTTTCCAATGTTTCTGTTATATCACTCTGTAAATTATTAATACTGACAACAATATGCTTGGAAATCAAGACTTTAGCCCTATAAGTCAACAAATTTTGAAAAAAGAAATACCACACGTTAAAATTGGCCGGCAAATTCGAAGCCAGGCAAATCTTATCCCAAAATTCTGGCGTATCTAAGGAAAAACAAATCTATAAAATAACTTTTTTAACTATGCACTTTGGTGTAGTTACCTATTTTTAAGGCCTCTTCTCTAATTTTGTACAACCCCTTGACGTTCGTCACTAAGTTAAGAGATTTTTCTACACCATTTATCACTGTTTTTTCTGTAGATTTTAACCACTGGTCAATTACATGTTTTGTTTCATTTAAAGTTGTTTCCTTTATGTCTGTTTTATATTTAGGTCTAAAATTTGATTAAGTAAGACAACAAACATGTTTAATGTTGAAAAAATTACCTAAACTCTTTAATAATCTTTGGAATATAAGACTCTAAAGGCGTGTTTGGTAAATTAAGTTTACTTAAAGTAGGAACAGCATTCTCAGAAACGATTTCTTTCAGTTGTTGCCAAATTAAACCTGAATCTAAAAACAAAAACAACATTTTACAAAACATTTTTAAGGGGAGGCCATTTTGTGATGTCACATAATGACAGCTGTCACCTTGGCAAAACCTACTAGGTACATAGGGCATTCCACGCCAAATCGGATGTTTTCAAAAAAAAATTTTTTTATTCCTCCAAATTTTTTATATTTATTTAGTACTCCTTGAAAGAGCTTTCTCAGTAAATTTTGAGATTTTTTTGATCACGGGTTCAAAAAAAACTGCTTTTTTTTTGTTTTTCACTCATAACTTTTTAAAAAATGGTCCAAATCAAAATGTTCATTCTATATAAAGTTTTCGTTTTTAAATGTATTTTTCGAAAAAAAATATATTGAAAATTGTTGAAGCGTTTTAAGTCAAGATTTTTGAGTTTTAAAGTTTAAATCGTGTTTTTAAAAATGTGTCTTCTTCGATTTTCGCAAACATTTTTATTTTCAACTTCTATCTATTCAACAACTATTCAGCCTGGTCCGGTAGTGGGCCTTCCATAATTACAATTTTTTTTCGAAACATATAATTTTTAGAGAATTTTTTTTTTTTTTAATTTTGAATAAACCGTGACCCGTGATCAAAAAAATCTCAAAATTTACAGAGAAAGCTCTTTTTATAATACATTTTCATAAGCCGGCCATTTTGTGGCATCACAAACTGACAGCTGTCACCTTGTCAAATCAACACTACTAGATTAAACTTGAAAATTTCTATGAATAAATTGAATAATTTACTTACAAATAAAACAATCATGCAATAAATGCACTGTAGTAATAAGACATCTAACCATAGCACTTATTTGAACCCTAACACTTGAATGTGATGTGTTAATAACTGTATTTAAGGCAGTTTTACGATGTTGAATAAAAATACTCAATAATTCCTCTGTACTTTGATTTTCTAGTAACAACAAAGCATTTAGGTTATAACTTGTTTCTTCTGCTGTAATTTCCACCAATTCTAATTTTTCTGTAATTCTCTGGAATATTTTTTTTCTTAATATTAATAAATTTTCCTTTATTTGTTGTAGCAAGGGTATTTTATTTAAACGTTCTTGTTTTGTGAGGCTTAAACCTGTGTGAATGTGTTGTGCTAGTAAATATAGTTGAGCTGCCTCAAAATTGTTTTCCTCATCCAGGGAAATCCATATTTGTTCGTTCATGAATATGGCAAGTCGTATTTGGATAACCAGGGTTCTTTCTTCAATTTTTTCCCTTAAAAATATTGTTATATTACAAAAAAACTACTTAAATAACATTTACTTACTTATTAATTTCATAGTTGGTAATATTTTCAACTTTATCTGAAGTATCAACTAAAGTCTCACACGTATTTGTAATTTTTTCGATATTATCCACTATTTCTTGCGATATCGTTTTCATAGACTTAATAGCATCTGAGGCCGCCAAAATATCTTTATACCTATCTCTAAAAAACATAATTTCAATTGATTATGTGGCATTTTAAAAGTAAATACCAAAACTAACCCGACCATTGACCGCAATTCATTACGTTTTCTCTCGATTTCAGCATCCAGAAGTTTTTGTATTTCCACAATTTCGTCCACGCCATGATCCTCAAACAGTTTATCGACGTCTATTTCAAGTAAATTGCTGTTTATCCTGGACATATTCAAAATTTGCCACTAAATTAACCTAAAAACGTCAAAGAATTGGAAACGTCAACACATAGTGTTGCCAACTGTGCCGAATGTCAAGCCATTGGATAAAGTCTTCTTGTTGGCAAGACTGGAGTTAATCGACAACGTGGCATAATTTGAATTAAGGTATCATGGAGCCTACACAAGGATTCCGAACATGGAGCCTACACAAGGAGCCCGAACTTAACTCTAAATCGTACAAATTAAGTCTTGGGTGCTTCGTTTGAGACGACTATTTTTTTTTCTCACTCCATTGACGAAATATTGTTCTAAATCTAGAAAAAAAAATTTCCACCAAAGAAGAGCTCTTAATTTTAATTTTAAGTACCTACTCGCTAAATAAATTTAAAGTTTTCCCATTTAATTAACCCGTAAAAATATTTTTTTTGCTTAAATTATCTATAGCATAGCCAGGTCCGGCCCGAGGTACGGGCGAACCGGGCAACGGCCCAGAGCGTCATAATGGGGGGCGGCATTTTTACGATTTGTTAATGAAAATCAATTTCATTCAACATAATTTTTTCAATTGGCGATTTTTTTAAAGAATTACGCTCGAGAAATGCAGTTTAGGTAATTTAATATCTTTAGATTTAATAGAGGCGCTCTCGGAAGACGACCCTGACGCCCTCTTTCATTCGTTTCTTTAATCACATCCTGTAGTTTTCTATACTTGTGTTTGACAATTGACAATTAATAATTGACAAATCTATACAAAAATATATCACGATCGTACGTTGTAAAATCAGTGCATTGCTTAGGTAGTTTGATAATTAGAAGTATAAAATGCCTGAAAAACCCAAAAAAGATTCAGGAACTTTTTATAAAAACAAAAGAAGGGCGCGTGAGGCGGAAAATAAGTACTAGCAGCAACCTTCTCCAAATTCTTGCAAAAATAACATCATGGGCAGGTATAATAATTATAGGTACTATAATTAAACAATATTGCATATATGGATAACTCTTAAGATAATTATCGAAAAGGAACCAATAATTATCGAAAAGGAACCAAGTTTTTGGCGCTTGGTCCAAGCGCCAAAAACTTTTTCTGGACTTGGTAAAATTATTTGTAAAATAATTTTTAATAATGCTCTAAAGGTTGATCATCATTTGGACCTTTCTCAAAAGGATTGAGAGGGTTCCCAAATCATTATTAATTTTTTGAGCAGCATTAAAAATGAGTTATTTTTCAAATAATTTTGTTTACCACAGAAAAAGTTTTTGGCGCTTGGTTCCTTTTCGATAAACGTTATCCATGTGAAAATGAGGTTTTATTTTTGTTGTATACCTACATCTTAACATTGTTTTTAGAGGTTTAAAATCAATGATCTGACGTGCATCGCTAAACTAATTACGTAATTATTGAGTTAATTTACTTTTAAAAATGATTGAGCTGATGTAAATAAGTTACTTAAAATGTTCGGGTGCACTCGGTCTATATACTTTTACATTAAAAATACGATATTTTAACAGCAATTATGTGATTATCTGAGCTATCGCAGAATATTTCAAAAGTAAATTTCAACAAACCAAAGAATTCTTGTAATTTAACAATATTGTTTAATTATACTCGCTATAATAGTGACACTATTTATAGTTTATAATAATACACACAACACCAAAAGTCTTGGACCCCCCATATAAAAATTTTTTAAATTGTAGTTTATTCTTTTTGCGTATCGCATACAAATGTTTATTTATTTGCAGAATAAAAACGACCATAAACATTCAAACATAAAAAAGTGTTAGGTTTTTATCGATGTTTAAAAGAAATTTGTCAGTTCGACTCAGTTTGCATGCATGTTTAAGAAGCCTCATTTCGTGTTTTTCTTGCTTTAAAATGCCAGGACGTGAAATTTCTGCGTTTAACAGAGCAAGATTAATTGCTCTTTATGAAGCTGGATTTTCCAATCACCATATATCGGCTAGTTTAAATATTCCAAGATCATCTGTTGTGCGAATCATCCATAGATACGAAGAAACTGGAACGGTGGAAGGAATGCCCCGTAGTGGGCGTCCTCGCGTGTCTAATGAAAGGGAGGATAGATATCTGATTCAATTTACTCGCCGAAACCGAAATGCCACGGCCCCAGCCATCAGAGCACATTTTCAAGGTACGTTTCATCGTCTAATTTCGACCTCTACAATTCGCCGAAGACTGCATAGTGCAAATTTACGAGCCAGGAGATGTTTGAGAGTACCTCTTCTATTGCCTCGACACCGTGTTGCCCGCCTCCAGTGGGCGAGAAACCATATGGATTGGCTTTTGGATCAATGGAGATGGGTCCTCTTTACTGACGAAACAAGATTTGGCCTGGTCAGTGATGACAATCGCCAAAGGGTTTGGAGGGAACCAGGACGTCAGCAGCGACTTAACTTTCCCCGTGAAGTTCCTCCCTACCAAGGGGGTACAATAATGTTTTGGGGGGATATAATGTACAACCGTCGTACTCCATTAATACGCATACAGCAAAATTTGACGAGTCAAATTTATATCGAAAACATTATTAGACCAATTGTTTATCAGTTACGAAACCAAATAGGGTTAAACTTCATCTTTATGGATGATAACGCCAGGCCACACCGAGCCAGAAGGGTTCAGGAGGCACTTCAAGCTGAAGAAATTACCAGATTAGAATGGCCAGCCAATTTGCCAGACATGAATCCTATCGAGCACTTATGGGATTATGTTTCCAGGGCCATTCACAATCGAAACAACCCACCAGGAACTGCGGAAGAATTGGCTGCAGCCGCGGTAGAAGAGTGGAATCGCATACCTCAAGAGGTTATCAATAACTTGATAATTTCTATGCCCAGGCGTGTTGACGCACTAGTAAGAAGTAGAGGAGGACCCACAGACTATTAGTTAGCAGTAATTTTTATGTTTATTCTTAATGACGATTAATTTCTTAATCCATTTTATTTTTGAAATAAACCATTTTTAACATTTTGTTTATTTTTAAGTACCCTCCCACACGGAACAATTACATCCAATGGATATCCAATGGATTTCTTTTATGGATATCCAGGATATACATAGGATATCCGGGATATCCAATGGATAACCATTGGATATATAAATGTCCGACCCTCCTGGACATAGTGTGGATATCCAATGGATACCCAGTGGATATAGTATTGTATGCAATAAGGTTGTAATCTGTATTCAATATGGAGATTGTATGGATATCCAATGGATAACCATTGGATATATAAATGTCCGACCCTCCTGGACATAGTGTGGATATCCAATGGATACCCAGTGGATATAGTATTGTATGCAATATGGTTGTCATCTGTATTGGATATGGTGAATCAATGGATATTTACTTTTCAATAAATAACATTGGGTTGGGTTGGGTAAATATTTATTTTTATGAAAACATAAAATAGAACAGAAAACTACATATAACTAAAGAAGTGCTTGCCATCACTCCTCCAGCTGTCATTTGCCTTTTTATCAGCCTAATCATTTAGGGCCTATTTCACCTGTCTCCTTATGATCCCCAAAATTTGGCCAATCCATCAGCCCATTTGTTAAAAATTGCCAAGGTTTTACTACTACGCCAGTAGTTAGGCAACCAAAATGACAAATATTACACAAGCCGACACATCTCTCCACCGTGCCTGGCCCGAAACGCATCTCTCGGGTTGACATGGCACAATGACTAATGTACCATGCCCACCAATACTGACAGACAGACTGTTTCGACCTGTTGGGTCTCATCAGTGTCAGGCAGTTGGTGCCGAGAGACACGCTTCAAGCCAAGCAACCGCCCACCTATATACTAGTTGGGCGACCTGGACAGCGGCGAGATGCAGCGGCAAGGTAATATGGTGACATTTATCTTCTGTTTTTGCCGGCAGTGTTGTCAGACGTTTAAATAATTTCAGAAAGCTCATCAAAATGGCGGTTATATTATTAAATCTTTAATACTTAATTAATTAGTATACCTAGTATACCTATTTGACATAAATGTGGTGAATAATTATTTTAAATTTATTTAATTTATTTATTAAAACTTAATAAAGTACGGAAATGGGCGTTTCTCTGTAAACTGGGCAACTTGAAGTAAGAAATTGTCTAGGCAAGTTTTTTTGTTATATTTTTATTGTATTTAATAAATGTTATTCAAGGAATAAATATCGGTCTATTTATTAGTATATGGCAGATGAACCAAAAATATTCCTATTACTTTGGAAAACATTGAGCATTTTCTGAAAAATCTATACTGGGGACTGTTTATAAAATCCGGAGACAAAGTTTAGATGACTTTTTTAGAATTACAAAATAATAATTATAAAAAATAAATAAGTCACAGTAACAAGCAAACAATATTGGTTGAATAATTAAACAATTAGGTTGATTCCAATTGTTACTGTCTTTAATTAATTTAGTCTGAAGTGACCATTTTGCTTTGGTGACACGTCAGGGGACTGGTTTTTAAGGACTATAAAAACGATTTTGATACATTAAAGTTTATTTTATTGGATTTTGAACGTCGAGCAAAGGTAGATTAGGTTATTATCTTTTGAAGTTATCTACGAAATATTTATGATCTGTTATTTTTCTAAACAATATTAGCTTGAGACAATGAGTTGCCCAGTTTACAGAGAAACGCCCAAATATATTTCGTTTAGTTATTTTGCTTATAACCGGCAACACTGAAGATTCTCAAATTCAGCGCGTGCGTAGTACATATATGAAATACAATAATAAACAAAAAGGACTTTTTTAAGTAATTTTTTATTGTATTGCAGACTGTCATAGTCATATTATTAACAGAAATAATATTATTAATATATAAATATTATTATCTGGGTAAAGTGAACATTTCAAAATTAAAAATTTCGTAGCTCTTGGCAAAAAATCAATTTAACGTAAAGTCGTTTTTTTTACATATGCTAGTTTAAACCATCACAAAATCCCACATGTATACATACAAGTATATATACAAGATATCCATATCAGT